GGATTTTAAAATCTTTGAAACATGAAAGAGTTTCGGATTTTTCTTTCACAAAATAAGCCCAAACTTTTCTTGTAAAATCATCAATAAATAACAAGAAATACAGATTACCACCGATAGAGGGAACTTGAAATGGTCCACAAAGGTCACTATGAATGAGCTCCAATGGTGACTTTGATTTCCAATTTGACTTGGAAGGAAATGACACTCGGTGTTGCTTCCCCAATTGGCATTCTTCACAAATTTCGTCCATGGCTTTAATGTTCGGCAATCCTTGAACAATTTCCTTGTTTGATAACTCATTCAAACTTTGGAAATTAAGATGCCCGAACCGGTCATGCCACAACTTTGAAACGTCGTCCTTCATAGTTAAATGGCAAGAGGCTTCAAAATTATCAAGTTTGATCGGAAAAATATTATTTCCGGTCATACCGATATTTGCAATGTGTTGATCCTTCTTTTTCAAAACGCAAGTGAAGTCGTCGAAAAATATGTTGAAACTTTTCTTCATCAAGTGACCAACACTTAGCAAATTACTTGCCAAGTTAGGTACATAGTAAACCTCGGACATTGTTTCGATTTTTCCGGATTTTGTTTTGAAGACAATTTCTCCAACACCTTCTAATGCGTAGGTGTATCCATCTCCAAGCGTAACTGTCCCATGGCTAGCTTCGACAAGATTTGAGAATAATTTTTTATTCCCCGTCATGTGCTTGCTCGCACCACTATCCAAATACCAAGTATTTTCAAAGCTACCGTTAGATGCAATCAATAAAGTCTCCATATTTTCATGCAAATAACCAACTTCTTGCCTTTTTTCTGGATATTTTTCCAAACAATCATTGATTTTGTGTCCCGGTTTATGACAATAATGACACTCAACGTAAGGCCTTGTACCTTTATATTATCCTCGTCCTCGGCCTCTTCCTCTTTGAAAATTGTTCGGAAAATATCTCTCCTCTTCTTTCGCCTCATCATTTGATTTGGCTTGTCCACGCTAATTGTTGTAAGAGTTTCTTCCTCCTCTTATTTGGCCACGACCACGGAACGAGCCACGGCCTCCCGTGAATGTAACTTGGGATTTTAATGCTTGATCCGAAGAAGAAATTTGAGGACTTCTTTGAAGAATCCTTGCTTTGTGCGCCTCCAATCATCCTTGTAGACTCTCCAACGCCATTGATGAAAGATCTTGTGACTCTTCGATAGCCACAACAACATGATCAAATTTCACCGGCAAGCTTCGCATAATTTTTTCGACAACCCTTTGGATTTCCATGACTTCGCCATTTGTCGCCATTTGATTTACAAGAGAGGTGATTCTTGTAAAATATTCAACAATTTTTTCGTTTTCTTTCATCTCCAATTTTTCGAATTCAGCCCTCAAAGATTGCAAACGAACCTTCTTTACTTCATTTTCCCGGCATAGGTTGTTTGTAGAATTTCCCATGCATCCATAGAACTACTTGCCTTGGTTAGTCTTTCATAGACGGGAACTTCGATGGCTTGATATATTTGGAAAAGAGCTTTTCGATCTTTTTGCCTTTCGGTTCTCAAAGTTTGCCTTTGTGCATTCGTCAATTGATCCTCATTTTCGGGAGTCTGAAACACCGTCTTCAACAACGCTCCAAATGTCTTGAGATTCAAGACAAAGCTTCATAAGATTACTCCAATATTCGGATTTTTCTCCATTGAAACGAGGGATAAGAGAAGCAAGGTTGGTGGACATTTTTAAGATGGCTTTGATGCCAATTTGTAGGCACCAGGATAAGATAAAAATGATTAATCCCGAATTTGGATTTTAGTGATTTTTGTGAAGACTTGAAAAATTAATATTTTTGAGTATAGAAAGTAAAAGACTAGTGTTTTGTGGATGGAAAAATTACTTCTCTTTTTGTTTTTTTTGTCTTGCTTACAATGATCTCTAGCACTCCATATTTATAGTGAGTAGTACATTAATCTACTAATCAATTACAAAATAACTCATAGACTAACAACTCTTTTAATTCTAATTTAATACTTAGGAAAATCAAAAGACAATTGTCTATACATCTAGACAATGGTGCTTCAAATATCCATTTATTCCAACATTCAATCTCCACTTATTCCAACATGAATGCCCACTTCTTCCAACATGAATGCCCACTTCTTCCAATATTGAATTGCCACTAATCAGACCTAGGTGGTTTGGGATGTTTGATTGCC